CACACCAGATTTCAAATACTGCATCAACGACGTCACTAAGGGTAACACACACACACACACACACACACACGTATGCACACGCACACACACACACACACACACACACACACACACGTATGCACACGCACACACACACACACACACACACACACACACGTATGAACATGCTCACACACACACATACACACACACACACACGTATGCACATGCTCACACACACACACACACACACACGCACACACACACACACACATGCATACACACACACACACACACACACACACAGAGCAGCATTAAACACAAGGATCTGTAGGTGAACTCATAAATCAGTGCCAAATCCATCTCTTCAGTCTTCCTGATCAGATGCAGATTATGATGATTCCCATCAGCGACAGCCATCAAACACCAGCGTATGAGTTATGAATTTAACAGTAGTTCAGATCAGCGGAAAAAAGAGGAGGAGCTATTGATGATGGGGAGGAGCTAATGATGAAGGGGAGGGGCTATTTATAAAGGGGAGGATCTATTTATAAAAAGGATGAACTATTGATCAAGGGGAGGAGCTACATATAAAGGGGAGGAGCTATATATACAGAGGAGGAGCTACTGATGCAGGGATGGAGCTATTTATAGAGACAAGGAAGCTACTGATGAAGGGGGAGCTACTGTTAAAGGGGAGGAGCTATTTATAACGAGGAGGGGCTAAAGAAAAAGGGTTGGAGCTGATGATGAATAGGTGGAGCTATTGATAAAGGGGATGGAGCTACTAATGTAGGGGACTGGCTATTGATAAAGGGGAGGATCTATTTATAAAAAGGATGAGCTATTGATCAAGGGGAGGAGCTACAGATAAAGGGGAGGAGCTATATTTACAGAGGAGGAGCTATTGATGCAGGGGTGGAGCTGTTTATAAATACAAGGAGCTACTGATGAGAGGGGAGCTACTGTTAAAGGGGAGGAGCTATTTATAAAGAGGAGGGGCCAAAGAAAAAGGGTTGGAGCTGATGACGAATGGGCGAAGCTATTGATAAAGGGGATGGAGCTACTAATGTAGGGGACTGGCTATTGATAAAGGGGAGGGGCTATTTATATAGAGGATGAGCTATTGATGAAGGGGAGGGGCTACAGTTAAAAGGTAGGACCTACATATATAAAGAGGAAGAGCTGTTGGTGAAGGAGTTGGGCTGTTTATAAAAAGGATTAGCTATTGATCAAGGGGATAAGCTATAGTTAAAGGGGAGTGGGGGGGGTGCTATATATAAAGAGGAGGAGCTATTGATTAAAGAGTGGTGCTGTTTAAAATAAGAACGAGCTGCTGATGAAGAGGGGGAGCTCATGATAAAGGGGATGGAGCTACTAATGAAGGGAGTGACTATTGATAAAAGGGAGGGGCTATTTATAAAAGGAGTTAGCCATTGATCAAGGGGAGGAGCTACATATAAAGGTGAGGAGCTATATATACAGAGGAGGAGCTATTGATGCAGGGGTGGAGCTGTTTATAAATACAAGGAGCTACTGATGAGTGGGGAGCTACTGTTAATGGGGAGGAGCTATTTATAAAGAGGAGGGGCCAAAGGAAAAGGGTTGGAGCTGATGATGGATGGGTGAAGCTATTGATAAAGGGGATGGAGCTACTAATGTAGGGAACTGGCTATTGATGAAGGAGTGGTGCTATTTAGAATTATGATGAGCGATTGATGAAGGGGAGGAGCTACTGTTAAAGGAGAGGAGCTATTTGTAAAAAGGAGGAGCTATTAATAAAGGGGTAGAGCTGTTTATAAAAAGGATTTATTTATTAACAGGAAGCACTACTGATGAAGGGGAAGTATTGATAAATGGGATGAAGCTACTGATGAAGGGTAGGCGATATTATTAAAGGAGAGGGGCTATTTAAAAAGCTGTGAGATGTTTATAAAGAGAGGGAGCTGTTAATTAATGGGAGGCTATTGATAAAGGGGAGGAGCTTTTGATAAGTGGAAAGCACTGCTAATGAAGGGGAGGAGCTGTTGATAAAGGGAAAGGAGCTATTAATAAGGGGAGTGGCCAACGATAAAGGCGATAAGCTACTAATGAAGGCAAGGCGAATTGCTAAAGTGGATGGGCTATTGATGAAGGGGAGGGGCTATCAGGCGTTAGATTAGTATTTTGTGCTAAGCAAAATTCTACTTCAGTGATGATGGCGCCTCCTGATGGTGACTGCGGTGGTGCTCATGACCGGCAGTGTTTTGGTAGTTTGCCCATTTATTTCAGTAATGTGGCAAACGCTAAACGTTCTGTTGTGTGTGTGTGTGTGATCTGAACTATTAATTAGTAATAAACAAATAAACAAATACACATGATGTTGTTGTGTTTGATGTGTGTGTGTGTTTCAGTTGCAGACAGAAACTCAGTCGCAGTGTTGCTGTTTACTGCTGGTATCTGAAGACAATCACCAACTCTTCTGTCAGGTGACACAAATATAAATATACACACACACACACGCACACACAGACTCTCTAACAGTGTGTTTTCTCTGCAGGTTGTGGGAGATAAAATTTTGGAAGAGGAAATTAGTTTTCCGGTAAGTCTTTCTTATTTGTTATCTCTGTATGTTTCAGTAACACACACACACACACACACACACCACACACACGTAAGTCACTCTGGATTAAACCATCTGCCAACTACAATGCTGTAAACGCGTAGTAATGTTGTGTTTGGTTGTTTTGTGTTTATTCTCTGTAGCTCATGTTCGGGCGCTTCGGGCAGGTGGTGGAGACAAAGAAATCCATCACACTACAGGACGTCAGCCAGGTCACACACACACACACACACATGCAAATATTTACATAAAACACATATTTAAACATTCAAACAAACAAACACATACACACAAACAATTAAACACACAATCACACACACTAACATACCTGCACAAATATACACACATTCATGTACACACTCTTGCACACTCACACACACACTCAAACACACACACATATGCACACACTCAAACACAATCACTGTAACTGTCTTTGTTTGTATATGGATGTGCATGTGTGTGTGCTTGCATTCATGGTTATGTGTGTGTGTGTGTGTGTGGGTCTGTGTGTGTGTGTGCAGGAGGAGCGTGGGTTACTCAGCAGTTGCTGGGGTCGGAGCCGAACTCAATGCTGTGTGTTCCAGTGGTCAGTCAAGCCACTGGACAGGTGGTGGCGCTGGCGTGCACATTCAACAAACTCGGAGGACAGAGGTGCGTCACAGCAACACACACACACACAAACACACACACACACTACACAATAACATCACAACTCAAAACACCAGCAGGTTCATATATCTTTTCATTTTTTGGGGGGGAAAATATGAAAAAGGCCTCTAATACACAGATCTCTGCAGATTAATATAGAGAGCGACGCATCACACACACAAACAGCACTATGAAAAATATTTGAAAATTCGTTAAAATAATAATAATAATAATGTCGTCTTCCTCATCTGTACGTGTGCTGAATCTCCAGCTGGGTCACATGATCGACTGGCTGGAGAATCTGGAATTGATTATATAATGAATATTGAGATTATATCAGCCAATGGGATGGGATGTGTGTGTGTGTGTGTCGTCTGGACTGAAGCGTGACGTCTGAAATAAAGGAAATGAAATTCATCACGCAGAGATATGAACATTGGATATTTGATATTAAGTTTCTCTTGTTTTCATCTCTCCGTCTGTTTGTCTCATTTCATTCGTTCTTTTCAGTCGTTCTTTTCATATTTCTGTGAAGATTATGTGTTTGTGTGTGTGTGTGTGTGTGTGTGTGTGTGTGTGTATGTGTGTTTTAACCCATGTGAGATGTGTTTGACTAATTGACGATAAGAGAGAAAGAGAAGGAGAAAGATAACAGAAATGACGATAACGGAGGTAACACAGAGTTGATGGTAACAAAGTTGACAATAAGAGTTGACCACAATAACAGAGTTGACAATATCAGAAATGATGACGATAACAGAGTTAATGACAACAGAAATGCTGATAACAAAGTTGACGATAACAAAGTTGACGATAACAAAGTTGACGATAACAGAATTGACGATAACAAAGTTGGCGAAAACAGTTGACGATAACAGAGTTACAGACTTAACAACGATAACAGAGTTGAAGATAACAGAAATGCTGATAACAAAGTTAATAATATCAGTGTTGATAACAATAGCAAAGGTAGAGATAACAGAATCGAGGATATCAGAGTTGACAATTATAGAGTTGACAATGACTTCATTGACGACGATAACAGAGTTGATGAAAAGAGTTGATTTCAGAGATGACGATTGCAAAGTTGGCGATGACAGAGTTGACAATCTCAGAGTTGATGATATCAGAGTTGACAGTGACTTAGTTGACGACGATAACAGAGTTGATGACAACAGAAATGCTGATAAAAAAGTTGACGAAAGCAGAGATGGCGAAAGCAGAGCTGACAATACAGAAATGCTGATAACAGAGATAATGATGTCAGAGTTGATGACGATAACAGAGTTGCTGATAGCAGAGTTGACGATAGCAGAGTTGACAATGACTTAGTTGACGACAATAGCAGAGTTGATGACAATAGAAATGCTGATAACAGAGTTGACGATAACAGAGTTGACGATAACAGAGTTGACAATAGCAGAGTTGACGATAACAGAGTTGACGAAAGCAGAGTTGATGACAATAGAAATGCTGATAACAGAGTTGACGATAACAGAGTTGACGATAACAGAGTTGACGATAGCAGAGTTGATTACAATAGAAATGCTGATAACAGAGTTGACGATAACGCAGAGTTGACAATAGCAGAGTTGACAATGCTGATAACAGAGATAATGATGTCAGAGTTGACGACGATAACAGAGTTGCTGATAGCAGAGTTGACGATAGCAGAGTTGACAATGACTTAGTTGACGACGATAACAGAGTTGATGAAAAGAGTTGATTTCAGAGATGACGATTGCAAAGTTGGCGATGACAGAGTTGACAATCTCAGAGTTGATGATATCAGAGTTGACAATGACTTAGTTGACGACGATAACAGAGTTGATGACAACAGAAATGCTGATAAAAAAGTTGACAAAAGAAGAGATGGCGAAAGCAGAGTTGACAATACAGAAATGCTGATAACAGAGATAATGATGTCAGAGTTGACGACGATAACAGAGTTGCTGATAGCAGAGTTGACGATAGCAGAGTTGACAATGACTTAGTTGACGACAATAGCAGGGTTGATGACAATAGAAATGCTGATAACAGAGATAATGATATCAGAGTTGACGACGATAACAGAGTTGCTGATAGCAGAGTTGACGATAGCAGAGTTGACAATAGCAGAGTTGATGACAATAGAAATGCTGATAACAGAGTTGACGATAGCAGAGTTGACAATAGCAGAGTTGATGACAATAGAAATGCTGATAACAGAGTTGACGATAACAGAGTTGACAATAGCAGAGTTGATGACAATAGAAATGCTGATAACAGAGTTGACGATAGCAGAGTTGACAATAGCAGAGTTGATGACAATAGAAATGCTGATAACAGAGTTGACGATAACAGAGTTGACGATAACAGAGTTGACGATAACAGAGTTGACAATAGCAGAGTTGACGATATCATAGTTGACAATGACTTAATTGACGTCAATAGCAGAGTTAATGACAACAGAAATGCTGATAACAAGGTTGATGATAACAAAGTTGGCGATAGCAGAGTTGACAATACAGAAATGCTGATAACAGAGATGACAATATCAGAGTTGACGATAACAGAGTTTATAATGACTTAGTGTCAGGGTTCTGCCACTTTGGTCTTGTAAATTCTTGTTTTGGTGGCAGAGCTCTGACACTACTCAATGTCTGGTCCTGTTTCTGTCTCTGTGTGCGCGCGCGCCGTCGTGGGTGTACGCAGAGTGTGCGCGCTGCCACTTGATGTGGCCGCGCACGCTCTGCGTCCCTCAGACGCGCGCGCTCTTGTACTAGTGTTTGTGTTTGTTCTGTCAGCAGCGCGCTGCTTTATTCTCGGCGCCTCCGTCTAGTTGGTTTCAGTTTTGGTTGGCGCTGAGATGAAGCATGCGCGTTGCTTATATGTGAGCGCACGGTAAAGTGTTTATCTATCGTGTGCTCGTGTCTTGCGTCTTTTGTCAAAGCACGTGGCTCGGTGTTTACATTGTGGTCACGTGCTTTTGTCGTGTGCTTCAGTGTTGTGTTATGTGAGCGCATGGCTTGTATTGTCTCTCTGTGTCATGCGCTCTCCCGTCTATTGTCTAGTCCCACCCTCCTTGTCAACCCATTATTAGTTAATTGTGTTCACCTGTGTCAATTTACTTTTTGCTTTATAATCCCCCTCATGTTTTCAGTCCTTTGTGAGTTCGTCGTCGAAAGTTTCCTGTCCTGTTGTGTCTAGCCCTGTCTTGTCCAGCCAATCAAGTTTGTTTGTTCATTTATTTGTTTTATTAGAGTTTTTCCCCCTCGGGGTTGTTTGTTTTGCCTTTTTGTTTTCATTTTATAATTAATAAAAACCCATTATTGCTGCACCTGAGTCCTCGCTCCTTTTCCCCTCACCGACCGTGACACTTAGTTGACAATGATAACAGAAATGCTGATAACAGAGTTGACGATAACAAAGTTGATAATATCAGAGTTGACAATGACTTAGTTGACAAGGATAACAGAGTTGATGATAACAAAAATGCTGATAACAGTTGAAGATAACAGAGATGACAGTAACAGAGTTAGCAATAACAGAAATGACAAAAACATAGTTGACGATATCAGTTGATGATAATAGAGTTAACTATAAAAGAGTTGGTGATAACAGAGTTGACAATATCAGAGTTGACTGACTTAGTTGCAGACGGGAACAGAGTTGACGATTACATAGTTGGCGATAACAAAGCTGATGATAACAGAGTTGACGATAACAGAGTTGGCAATAAATAAGTTGATAGTAACAGAAATGACAATAATCTAGTTGACGGTAACAGAGTTGGTGATAACAGTTATTATTTAATTTGTTTTTCCTGTGTGGTCAGGTATATGGAGGCAGATGAACATGTGATCCAGCACTGTTTCTGCTACACATCAACAGTTCTGACCAGTACACTGGCCTTCCAGAAGGAGCAGAAGCTCAAGTTTGAGTGTCAGGTGAACACACACACACACACACACACACACACACACACACACACACACACACACACACACACACACAAACACACACACACACACACACACACACACACACACACACAGTGAGACTTATATTAGTCTTATTGTATTCCAGGCTCTGCTGCAGGTGGCTAAAAACCTCTTCACACACCTGGGTGAGTGCAAATAACTGATATCACTAACTCAGCATTAGATTGTGTTTCTACACATTATATTTTATACTACAGGTCTGCTGAATGCTTAATTATGATTAGCCGACATGCAGGCGTTAAATAAAGACATGAATTAATCTCTTTCCGAATGAATAATTTGAGTCAGTGATCCATTAATAAAGACAGTCACTTCATTCCTCAATATCTGAGTATCTGCTTCTGAATGAATCATTTGAGTCAGTGATTCAACTCCTGCATGAATCTGCTTCAGAATGACTCATTTGAGTGAGTCAGTGATCCATTAATAAAGACAGTCACTTAACTCTTGAGTAAGTTTGCTTCTGAATGAATCATTTGAGTCAGTGATTCAGTGATCCATTAATAAAGACAGTTACTTAACTCCTGAGTGAGTCTGCTTCAGAATGAATCATTTGAGTGAGTCATCGATTCAGTGATCCATTAATAAAGATAGTCACTTAACTCCCGAATGAATCTGCTTCTGAATTAATCATTTGAGTGAGTCAGTGATTCAGTGATCCATTAATAAAGACAGTCACTTAACTCCCGAATGAATCTGCTTCTGAATGAATCATTTGAGTGAGTCATTGATTTACAGATACATTAATAAAGACAGTCATTTAACTCTTGAGTGAGTTTGCTTCTGAATGAATCATTTGAGTGAGTCATTGATTCAGTGATCCATTAATAAAGACAGTCACTTAACTCCCGAATGAATCTGCTTCTGAATGAATCATTTGAGTGAGTCATTGATTCAGTGATACATTAATAAAGACAGTCACTTAACTCCCGAATGAATCTGCCTCTGAATGAATCATTTCAGTATGTCAGTGATTCAGTGATCCATTATTAAAGACAGCCGCTTGCCTTATTTCTTAATAAATAAATCCCTTGAGCTTAATTTTACCTTGTTATTTCTGAAAACAACACAATATTTTTAATTTGTCTACATAATTGTAAAGCAGGCTGCAGACACTGTTTATATGTTGTCGTAATTACAATTACAGCCATGATAAAGTGGCTTAATAATAAAAAGCTTAATTTCTCTGTTTATTAATTTCTCTCTCTCTCTGTCTCTGTTCAGACGATGTGTCTGTATTACTGCAGGAGATCATTGTGGAGGCCAGAAACCTGAGCAATGCAGAGATGTGAGACTCGCACACACGTACTTCATTATGTGCTTGATAGTTTTGGGTTTTATCCAAGCCAATTCCAGACCCGCGACTGTTAGCAATGCAGAGCAGCGTCCTCATAAATATCAATTAACTCCCATCAAATATTGAAAGCTTTAATGAAAGCAATTAAACACACACTCACGCACACACTCTAAACATTTACTCTGAGGCGACTGCGGACAGACATACACTGTAAAACACACACGAAAATTAGCAGGTTTCTGCATTTTGTGGTTCGTATTTTTATTTCCCAGAGTTTATTTCTGCTTGTGGATTGGATTATTGTCACGGTTTGGGGGGGAAAGGAGCGACGACTCAAATGCAGCAAATAATGAAGGCTTTACAATCATTCATTTTCTGTTAAGCTTAGTCCCTTTATTATTCAGGGGTCGCCACAGCGGAATGAACCACTAACTTATCCAGAATATGTTTTTTGCAGCGAATTCCCTTCCAGCTGCAACCCAACACTGGGAAACACCCAATACTCCTGCATTCACACTCATACACTACGGCCAATTTAGTTGATCAGTCCCCCTATAGCGCATGTGTTTGGACTGTGGGAGAAACCGGAGCACCCAGAGGAAACCCATGCAAACACAGGGAGAACATGCAAACTCAGCACATTTTCTGCCATTTTACAGACTCATTTCTCTGGATATTATTATTCTAATACACAATATATTATTTTAAAGCACTAAAATGCCATTAAAAGTAATTTTGTTAAACCATAGAGTTGAATTTTCTACATCGGAAGAGGGCAGATCTGAGATCAACATCCCATAATGCAATTCACAAACACTAATACACACAAAATACAGAAGCTGTTCATTAGCAGGTATGGTTATGACCGGGGCTTTACATTAACACCCGCCAACCCACCAAATGTGGGTGGATTTCAGCTCTAGTGGGTTACACGGACTCCTCCACTAGTCACTTTGGCTGGTTGGAAATCCTTTTTAAATTGTAGTTTTCTTAAAAGCAGGGTTCGACAATAAGCATGACCCGATGTTCGTGCAAATGTGATATTAGAATCGAGAAGCAGCACGACAGACAAAAATAACTGTGTTTGCACGAGCAGAAGAATGCTGAATACAGAATGAGAGCATGATCACTCGCGCTAACAGCTGATGTGATGCGCGCTCACGTTTACTTGCGCAAAGCAACCGTGCCTAGAGCAAGCGCAACGGGTGCGATTGGTTCCCTTTGTAATAGACTGGATAAAGAGCGATGATCGTGCACCCACAGTCCTGCTGCTTTCCAGAGCTCAGGGTTAAAAAATACACATATTGTTTTGTAAGCAGCAGCGCTCACTGCTTTCATTTGAATTATTCTTAGAAGAGATTATTAACAGGCCTAACATTGACCGTGTGCATGGTGTGTTTCACCTGCTTTCTTTTGCTCAGTTATTTTTGTTAATATGGTTTAATTATATTTTTTTGGTAACACTTTAGAATAACTTTCTGTTACAACTAGTTAATAGTCCATTAATAAACTGTTAGTTAATGAGTTATAAATGACTTGTTAAATAAAAGTTAGAAGTTTGTTAATTATATATAACTGTGCCTTATAGATAGCCAATAAATAACTTACAAGCTGTTAGTTAACAAGTTATAAATGACTTGTTAACTGTATTATAATGATTTATAAATATAAGTAATAAATTAGTAATAGATCATGAACAAGTTGTAAGACTTGTTAAGTATCAGTTAATACTTTATATACGTTATTGGGCCGTTATTCTAAAGTTGCAGCTATTCTTCATTTATTAACTGTTAGTAAATGAGGAATAGTTGCAACTTCAGAATAACGTCCCAATACCATACATAAGCTAATAACTAACACTTATAACACAATATTTTAACTCAAACTCAGATCAGTTGTTCATAGTTTCTCTACCATCTAGTAACACCAGTGAAACTTTGTAGAACTTTAAAAAAATATATAAATAAATGAAAAAAAGTGCCCAAACCTCGTAGGTTTGCATTCTGTTGTATACTGCTGTTCTGCCATGTTATGACTCACAATGTTTAACATTTCATCTGTGGAGTTTCTTTGGTAAAATACAGCACACAAAAGCTTATGAGTGGAACAATGTTAAGCCACAAAAATGTTATGCTTTAAATATCACATCAAATTTCTGTAGCTTGAACTTGTTCCATCCATTTGCTGTTCCACAAAGTTTCACCGGTATTAGTTGGTTAACAAACTATGACAACTGATCTGTAAAGTGTGAGTTAATATATTAGCTAAGTGTTAGTTATTAGCTCATGTATGTAATTGGGACGTTATTCTAAAGTTGCAACTATTCCTCATTTACTAACAGTTAATAAATGAAGAATAGCTGCAACTTTAGAATAACGGTCCAATAACGTATATAAAGTATTAACTGATACTTAACAAGTCTTAAGTAAGTAATTTACTAACAACTTGTTCATGATCTATTACTAATTTATTAGTTATATTTATAAATCATTAAAATACAGTTAACAAGTCATTTATTACTTGTTAACTAACAGATTATAAGTTATCTGTTGGCTATCTATAATGCACAGTTATAAATAATTAACAAACTATTTCATTTAACAAGTCATTTATAACCCATTAACTAACAGTTAATTAATGACCTATTAACTAGTTGTAACAGATAGTTATTCTAAAGTGTTACCTTTTTTTTTTTTTTTACAATAAAATTGCTTCAACCAGTTAAACTCCGGGAACCCGGTACTGGGTCCTTGACATCATCGACTTTCGCTTTAAGATTTAAAGGGCCAGCATTGCACCAGACCCTCTTAAGTGTTTTTGTTTGAAAGTGTAGAATCTCTATTTTATGCACATATGCATCACTTTGGTTCTTATTCTACTGTACAAAAGTTATTTACACTTAAATACACTTAAATATTTTGCACAACCAAGCTGGGTATTGAACATTGGTTCATTGTCATATTTTTTATCTGACACATGTGCAAGTTATAGCTCAAATGAAAGCTCTTGCCGGTGCTCATACGTTTTTGCGTTCTTTTTACTGAATTATATTCACATATCAAACAGTTGCTGAATGAATCGTGGTGTTTCCATGGCGCAGAAGTGAAAACAATACATTTATGATCAATAAGCAGCCCCAGATAGCACAGACAGCTGTCATCTCTTGCCTTATGCTGTGCGCTTCAGGGCCATTTCTCCTCTGTTTTTGAGGTGATGTGTATAAGTAATGCTTTTATATGTCTGATGTGGTCCAAACACAGTGAATTATGTTTGATCAAACAAAAGAATAGTGAAATATGAACACAATGATCGCTCCCTGTGGCTTGTACAGCACCTCTCATCAGTTGGAATACAATAACTTTTGCATAGATTATGGTGGAGACATTTTTCTTATTTCCTATGATGACAGACATGTGCAGGAACCACCAACATTAACTACAGCACGCTAGAGCACACTGAACATAAAAGGTACACTTTCAAATATGAGTTTATAAAAAAAAATACAAACAGCGCCTCTTTATTTAGGTGTTGATTATAACACAGACAACATATACAGATATTTTAAACATCTTCAATAGTGAACATTCAAAGGGTTTTCTTTAAAATGATACCAAATCTTTGCATTTACACCTCTGCATGTGGATTTGGGAAGCTTTTAAATTTGGATAGGCAAAATCCAGGCGGAAATCCCAAAATAACAGCAGAGTTTAACTGATTACACTGCAAAAAATGCTTTTCTTACGTAGACTTTTTTTTTGTGTCTTGATTCTAGTCCAAATATCTTAAAATTCTTATATCAAGAAATATTTTCTAGGCAAGCAAAATATTTGGTCTTGTTTTCAGATATAATATCCCAATATTAAGGGAGTTTTTCCTTGTAACAAGCAAAATAATCTGCCAATGGGGTAAGCAAATTAATCTTGGTTTTCCTTTTGACATAAGATTATTTTGCTTACCCCATTGGCAGATTATTTAGCTTGTTTTATGGGGAAAACTCACTTTATTTTGTCATATTATATCTTAAAACAAGACAGTATGTTTTGCTTGTCTTGAAAATGCTTCTTGATTTAAGAGTTTTTAGATATTTGGACTAGAAACAAGACAAAAAATCTAAGTAAGAAAAGCTTTTTTTGCAGTGTAATGGCAGATTAACTCAGTGTATGTGTAGTTAACTGCTGATCTGGGACTTTTAGCCAGGACAGATTACTGTGCATATTTAAGATAAATGACAATAATTATTTTTTAAATGTAATGTTTTTTTAAAGAAACGTTTTGTTGAATTAAAGGGCCATGACCCCCCCCCACTTTCGGTTAAAGTCTTCTTCAGAATTTTTTCAAAAGATGCATGATTAATGGGCGTGGAGCTCCGCGAGCATCAGGCAGGAGTGGGCGTGGCCAGCAGGGGAGAACGTGAGCGAACGAAGGTAGCTAACAAAATGAGACAAACCGCGAGGAGACGCATGAGTTTATAGTTTACAAAGTTAAAATGCAAAGAAATTAACAGTAATTTAATGCCCTGCTACATTTGTTATTCGTAATTTCATATACACATAACCACAATTTATATCATTATTAAGATAAGTGTTTTCATGTAAACACTATAATGAGGACTTCTCCCTCAATCCCCGTATCCAGCAGACTCAGTGCAGCAGGTCTCCTGACCTGTCTATTTTAACCGTTAGCCCTGCTGGTAATCTGGGGGATTTAGGCAAACACAGCAGCACAGTGATGTGCCATTCTCTAATTCTCGTGCTGCTCTCAGCACACACACAGCTTTGCTGTATGATCGACCCTGACAAGATCGCGGGGGAAAACATGCAACAAACCGCGTGGATCATGGAAAAAAACGCATACGAGCCTTCATGAACGGCTAAATACTGTGTGCCCATGCCGTGAGTCCGTGACGTGTCCCACAGCTCGGGCTTGACTCTGGTAGGTCTGGCAGGTCTCATGAATAATTAAGCAGCCGGCTCTTCTCATAGGATAAGAAAACTCCGCTATGAATAATAATGAGAAACCGACGCGTCATCATTGCACTTGCAGTACTGCGCTCCGCCACCGATTTTGATCCGCCCTCAAAAATAATTTCAAACCCGGAAGCTGAAATCAGCTGACAAACGGTTAAAATTATCCAGTTTCCCCACAATTAAAGCTGACAGGTGCTAACATTGTCTTAACTGATGCTCAACACACACACATCTGTTAATATAAAAAGAAAAGTTCTCCAGGGTGTCCTGAACCTTTAAAAAGTACCCCTATAACGCTATATTTTCCTTGTTTTTACACATTAAAACATTGTGGCTAATAAATACTTATTTGGTGTGTTCAGAGATAAATTTGGTAAATCCTTAATTTTGAGCCCTGGAAAGTCGTGAAATAAAAACTGAGTGCATTGTGACAGTCCATAAGCTCGTGCACACTGAGCAAGCTAATACACAACACACACAAGAAGTGAAATGAATGAGAAGGCATGTGGACTTAACACAACATCTAAATCAAGTGATGTAGCATGTCAAAGTCAGATTTTAGCAAAATATATTTTCCCAACAAGAAACGTGTGGCTGGTGAAAATGGCTAGTAATGTTGGAAATCTACTAGCCACAGTGGCTGCTGAGTAAAAAAAGTTAATGTCAAGCCCTGATGACTGATTTAATATGTGTTTTTGCATTTGCTCAGTGTCTTTCTCTTTTCTCAGCTGTTCTGTGTTCCTGTTGGATCGAGTCAGTCATGAACTGGTGGCCAAAGTGTTTGATGGAGGAGTGGTGAACGATGATGAGGTGAGAATGCACGTGGATATATTGGATTAATAATACCGTAAGCATGTAACATATGAACCTAGGATCCTGGAGGAACAATGCAGGTTTTGTCCAGGCCGTGGCACACTGGACCAGCTCAATACCCTCACCTGGATGCTCGAGGGTTCATGGGAGTATGCCCAACCAGTACATGTGTGTTATGTGGACTTGGAGAAAGCATTCGACGGTGTCCCTCGTGGCATTCTGTGGAGGGTGCTGTGGGAGTATGGGGCGATCTGTTAAGGGCTGTCTCGTCCTTGTATGAACAGAGTAGGAGTTTGGTTCGCATTGCCAGCAATAAGTCAGACTTGTTTTCAGTGCATGTTGGACTCCGGCAGATCTGCTCTTTGTCACTGGTTCTGCTCATCATTTTTTTGAACAGAATTTCAAAGCAGGGGTCCAGTTCGGGGACCACAGGATTTTATCTGTTATTCGCAGACGATGTCATTCTGTTGGCTTCATCAAACATGGACCTTCAGCATGCACTGGGGTGGTTTGCTGCAGAGTGTGACGCAGCTGTTATGAGAATCAGGACCTCCAAGTCCGAGGCCAGGGTGCTCCACACGAGAAAGGTGGTTTGGAGGAAAGTCCTTACCCCAGGTGGAGTTCAAGTATCCTTGAGTTTTCTTCACGAGTGAGGGAAGGACGGAACTTGAGATTGACTGGAGGATTGGTGCAGCAGTAATGCAGTCAAAGTACCCGTTGTGGTAAAGAAGGAGCTGGGTCGAAAGGCAAAGCTATCGATTTACCAGTCAGTCTACATTCCTACTCTCACCTCTGCTCATGAGCTTTGGGTCATGACTCATGTGAAAGGACAAGATCTCAGATACAAGCGGCCGAAATGAATTTCCTTTGCAAGGTGGCAGGGCGCACCCTTATAGATAAGGTGAGGAGCTCTGACACCCTGGAGGAGCTCGGAGTAGAGCCGCTGCTCCTCCACGTCGAGAGAAGTCAGCTGAGGTGGCTCGAGCATCTGTTTCGGATGCCTCCTGGACGCCTACCTAGTGAGATGTTCCAGGCATGTTCCACCGGGAGGAAACCTCAGGGAAGACCCAGGACACGCTGAAGGGACTATGTCTCTTGGCTGGCCTGTGAACGCCTTGGGATCCCCCCTGGAGGAGCTGGAGGAAGTGTCTGGTGAGAGGGAAGTCTGAAGTTCTCTCCTAAAGCCTGGTTTATACTTCTGCGTCAGGTGACCGGCGTAACCCACATCGCATGCAACGCCCGTAGCTGTGCATTTATACTTCTGTGCGCTGTCTCTGTTGGTCTGCATTAACACTTCTAAAGAGCTAGTTGGCAGTGAGGTGTAAATGTTCCTCTGTGTCGAGTTTCCTCGCTGCTGTTTTGCTTTTCCTGAACACTTCCTGGATGTACAAGTGGCTCAAACTCGCTCATTTTGAGGCAGGAACCGGAGGACGTGCAACAACTTTAACTATGAGGTAAACACAAAACAAAACTTTCCATCCGGAGCTCCTTCACGGGACTCCACACTTGTAAACAATCGCTCCATTGGGCTCGCGCCGCTCGCGCAGCTCTCTGTCCTGCCCAGACTCGTCAGCGCTACCAAGCCAACCAATCACAGAGCTTGCGCTACGCATTGTTGCGACGTGTAGTTACATTTTTTGAGAGGTGCACGTCAGCGACGCCGACGGCCACGGTGAAGGGCTATGCGTCAGCGCCGTAGCATACGTCTGCGTTTGACACAGAAGTATAAATCAGCCTTTATAGATAGGGTGAGGAGCTCTGACACCCGGGAGGGGCTCGGAGTAGAGCCGCTGCTCTTCCACATCGAGAGAAGTCAGCTGAGGTGGCTCGAGCATCTGTTTCAGATGCCTCCTGGACGCCTACCTTGGGAGGTGTTCAGGCATGTCCCACCGGGAGGAAACCTCAGGGGAAACCCAAGACACGCTGGAGGGACTATGTCTCTTGGCTGGCCTGTGAATGCCTTGGGATCCCCCCTGGAGGAGCTGGAGGAAGTGTCTGGTGAGAGGGAAGTCTGGGGTTCTCTCCTAAGACTGCTGCCCCCGCGACTCGGCGCCAAATAAGCTGATGAAAATGACATGACACATGATGTAAAATATTATTATGATTTAAATAGCTGTTGTCTATTTAATATCAAGTAGAGTGTAATTAATTATCTGTGGTTTCTCTCAAGGTTTTTTTTCTTCACTCTCCTATCAGTGAAGTTTTTTTTCCCTCTCCGCTGTCGCCACTGGCTTGCAGTGTTCAGGATTGGTAGAGCTACCCATCGATGAATTTGCTCTTCAGTGTTTGGACTCTCAGTAATGATTAAATCACACTGAACTGAGCTAAACTGAACTTAAACACTAAAAACTGAACTACACTGTTTCAGTTACTATGACCATTTATGTGAAGCTGCTTTGACACAATCTACATTGTAAAAGCGCTATACAAATAAAGCTGAATTGAATTGAATTGAATTGATGTAAAGCTGATTTTTTAGCAACGTTACTTTAGTTTTCAGTGTCACATAATCCTACAAACAGCAACACTTAACCGGTGGTCTGTGTGGATCCTAAAGCTCCAGTATATTGATGGGGACTCTATAGTGCTCAGTGAGTGCCGTCTTTCAGATGAGACAGTAAACCCTGGTTCTGACTCTGTGGTCGTTAAAAAATCCCAGGACGTCCTTGGAAAAAAAGAGTAGGGGTTTAATTATTATTATTAATATTATCTTTCCATTTAAAATATCATAACTGTGCGAATGACACCTAATAACAGTTGTTATAAACTCTTAGGTGCAGCACATTGGGCAGCTTTGATTGTTTTTGAATGTGCTTTATAAATTAATATTGTACTTATTATTATGGTATTTATGCAGAAAAACTGATAAAGTGCCATTCATAAAGTGCCTAGCCGTTGCGTACATTAAATTGAAAATAAGTGTCGGTAATGGATGATTATTAATATTAAATCATAACATTCATTAATTTTCCTTCAGCTTAGTCACTTATTTATCAGGGGTGGCCACAGCGGAATGACCCGACAACTATTCCATCATATTTTTTACACAGCAGATGCCCTTCAGCTGCAAGCTAGTACTGGGCAACACCCATACCCACTCATTTACACACACACTCATCCACACAGAAACACCAACTAAACCAGCAGGGACTCGAACCAGTTACCTTCTTGTTGTGAGGCCACCGTGCTTACCACTGAGCCACCGTGTCACCCTCATGATATTAATATCAATGTGTGTGTGTGTTTTTTAAAAAGTTTATTGCTGTTCTTTCACTCCAGAAACATGACAGTAAGAGCTGTGTGATATGACACCATGCATAAACCTAAAGTCTACATGTGTGTGTTGCTTCATTACAAACATCCGCTGCATATTTCACAATATACACGCTAAACTAACAGTGTGTGTGTGTGTGTGTGTGTGTGTGTGTGTGTGTGTGTGTGTGTGTGTGTGTGTGTGTGTGTGTGAGCAGAAAGAGTTTCGTATCCCGGCGGATCAGGGAATCGCTGGTCATGTAGCCACCACCGGGAAGATCCTGAACATTAAAGATGCGTATTCACACCCTCTGTTTTACCGCGGTGTGGACGACAGCACCGGCTTCAGGACCAGGAACATCCTCTGCTTCCCCATCAAAGACGAAAACGAAGGTCAGACATCAAAACGATCTGTTTTTACCTTTTTCTGTATTAAAAATATTCAAGCGTGCAGAATGCTGGATTCTGATTGGCTGATGAGCATCTAAATCAATTTTTTTTGCTTTTCTTACTGTTTGATGAAGCTAATTATAATGTGCACACACAGACACACACCTATACATACATACATACATTGACACATGCATGCACGCACACGCAATCAATGAATCTTCTTCTGAATGAATCATGTGAGTCAGTGATTCAGTGATCTGTTAATACAGGCACTTCATTCTTGAATGAATCTGCTTCTGATTGAATCATTTCAGTCAGTGATTCAGTGATCATTCAATAAAGACAGTCACTTTATTCCTGAATGAGTCTACTTCTGAATGAATCATTTAAATCAGCGATTCAGCAATCCATCAAAAAAGACAGTCACTTCATTTCTGAATGAATCCTGTTCTGAATGAATCATTCTTCAAACATCTTTGATTCATTGATCCAGTATTAAAGACAGTAACTTTGTTCCCAAATGAATCTTCTTCTGAATTAATCATTTGAGTTAATGAATCTGCTTCTGGATAAATCATGTGAGTCAGTGATTCAGTGATCCATTAATCCTTGATTTTTGAATTACTCTGCTTCTAAATGAATCATTTGAGTCGGTGATCCTTTCATAAATACAATCACTTTATTATTAAATTATTGTGCTTCTGAATGGATCATTTGAGTTAGTGATTCAGCTATTCATTAATAAAGACAGTCACTTCATTTTTGAATGAATCTGCTTCTGAATGAATCATTTGAGTCAGGGATTCATTAATGAAGACAGTCACTTTATTCCTGAATGAATCCTGTTCTCGATGAATCATTTGAACCTGTGATTCAGTGATCAATTATTAAAGACAGTCACTTAATTAATTAAATAATCTGCTTCTGAATGAATCATTTGAGTCAGTGATTCGTGAATAAAGACAGTGACTTAATTCCTTAATGAATCTGTCTCTAAGTGAATCATTTGAGTCAGTGATTCATTAATAAAGACAGTGACTTAATTCTTTAACAAATCTGCTTCTGAATGAACCATTTGAGTCAGTGATTCATTCACAAAGACGATTATCACTTTATTTCTAAATGAATCTGCTTCTAATTAAATCATTTGAGTCAGTGATTCAGTTATCCACCATTAAAGACAGTCACTGAATTCCTTAATGAATCTGCTTGTATGTGAATCATTTGAGTCATTGATCAATGATTCATTCATAAAGACAATAATCACTTCATTAATTAATGAATCTGCTTCTAAATGAATCATTTGAGTCAGTGATTCAGTCATCCACCATTAAAGACAGTCACTTAATTCCTTAATGAATCTATTTCTATGTGAATCATTTGAGTCAATGATTCAGTAATCCACCATTAAAGACAGTCACTTAATTCCTTAATGAATCTACTTCTAAATGAATCATTTAAGCCAGTGAGTCAGTCATAGAGACAGTCACTTGTTTAATTTCTGAATGAATCAGCTTTTTTGAGTGGATTGTTTGAATGAATGATTCAGTCATTTGAGTCATTTATTCATTATGACAGGGACTTGCGCAACAGCTGTCAGTTTTACTCCCATGTTTATTTCTCCATGACTGTGTGTGTGTGTGTGTGTGTGTGTGTGTGTGTGTGTGTGTGTGTGTGCGTGTGTGTGTGTGTGTGTGTGTGTGTGTGTGTGTGTGTGTGTGT